ACTTAAACACCCCTACGGGCAGATCTTATATTAAAAGGCTGTTCCAGAGCTTTGGGCCACTCTAAAGGCTCGTGGTTGTGAAATGGGGCAGATCTGTGGTCTGAGTGACTTCCCGGTGAGACTTCTGCTGTCCGCCTGCTGAATGTGGCACCGGTGTGACGGTGGCGTCCCTCAGGCCGCCCCCATGTGACCCCGGGCCATGTGACCCCTCTGAATCATCGGTACACACACACACACACACACATGACACACAGCGTGCATGGAGCTGCGCATGACTGGATCTGAGCAGGAGCTGCTCCAAACCCCAGATATTATTCATGATTCATCCTCCTGCTTCCATAAACTCACTAAGGGGATTTTTAAAGAATGTGTGTTTATTCTTAAACATTTAAACCAGATGTGGTTTGATTTGAATAATGTTATTAATTAATTTGGTTTATTTTTGATTTCTTAAATTTTGGATGAGAAAACTAGTTTTATATTTTTCCAAATGGTTGTAAATAATCCAGCTTGTTTTAAATATGAAATATCAATAACATTTTTAAAAATGTAACGTATTAAAATATATATATATATTACTGGAAATGGATTAATTTAAAAATCAAAATATATTATAAATATAATTTAGAGAATAAATATATGACAAAGATAAAGTAATACTAATAAAAAAATCATATAGAATTATTAAGATAATAAAATCTACAATAAAAACTTTATGGTGGCAAATAAACTAGATTATTTTTAACATTTTAAACTAAAAACATATATATATTAAAGTAACTGAGTAATAACTTGTAATGTTATTTCAAATAAATGTAATATTTAAGGTCCATTAGCATCATATTATTATCATTATTATTATTATTATTATTATTATTATGCCCTTTGTGTGACAATCAGAAATTATCTTTATTAGTATGTTTTATTCAAAATCCTTTAATGCTAACAAATATGAATCTATTAATTTAAATCTAATACATATACAAGCTATGCGTAAATAGTTCTCTTTTTTTGTTTTTGTTTAGTTTTCTTTAGTCGTGAAGCTGAAAAACCTCCGAACGTGCTCCTCCATCTTTATTTTTCCTGCTGCTCGCTTCTAAATGATCCTCAGGTCTCTTTTCCAAACCGACTC